GAAGTGTATTTATGTAAGTGGACTTTCAAAGCAACCCAATGCCACCATAATAAATGCAAAAGTAGATGTACATTTGTTTACCTCATGTGCAGCTGTCCCGATTTGTGTTGCGTCTTTCCCTTTATGGAACCGTTTGTTATGCCTCATCTCCCCACAAGTCGAGCATGTTATAAAAACAACACCTTTCTTCTTCAATGACACTCGTGATTGTGACTGTGACTGTGATTGTGATTGAGAGGGTTCATTCTCCTCAAGCCCCTTCCTTCTTTTTGTTTGTTTTCTGCCTTTTGTAGCAGTGTACGAAGGTGGAGGCAATACAGGGGGTTGGTCACTCTGAGGCCACAATACTTGTCCGTTCATAGGAGACATAACAGGTTCATAAATGGTGTTGTATGTTTCCACTGTAAACCATTCAGACACATAATCTTTTATCTCATGTCCTTTGTCAAAGATGCAAGCAATTGCGTGTGGACACGGAATCCCAGATATGTCCCATCTTCGACAAGCACAAGTCTGATTCTCCATATCGACTACATATTCGCCATTCGAACACTGCGCTTGATATTGATTTTCCCCATTCCAACTCAAGATGCATTCATGGGATGCATCAACATGCTTTTCCAGAATCTTTTGGATTTTAGGGCATATTGATTTGTTGTAGTTTCTGAGTTTGTCTCGCTTCATTTGAATTCTATGCATCAACTTCATTTGAATGCCAATCAACATTGCAAGTATCGATTTCTCTCTCTCCTCAAGAATAAATTTGTTGAAGCATTCACAGGGGTTGCTAAGCAGCATCTCACACTTTGACTGATCCGAAAAGTGAGACTTACTCCACTCAGCTAGTGGTTTGGCATTCAACCATCCATATGCCGCTGGGCTAACAGCTTCCATCTTCGCCATCCAGTACTTGAAAGACGCCAAATGGCTTGCTTTTGCAGCACCCCACAAACAGTCTTTTAAATACTTTCCCTTGAAGTCCTTTCGGAAAAAATTTTGATACAAATGCCGAACACAAAACCTATATTCTGCTGTTAGAAATAAATCGGCAACAACATTCCTTAAACCTTTTTGTCTATCACTCATGAGGGTGACAGACGACCAGTTCTCCATAGAAAGGTCTTCAGACAACAACATTAGAAACCAACGTCAGGAACTAGTGTTCTCTTTTTGAACGACTGCATATACAATTGGATATATGCAATCATTGGCATCAATCCCAACTGCTGCAAGCAATTGCCCATCCTATTTTCCTTTTAGAAAACATCCATCAACACAAACAAAACGACGACAACTGTGCAGAAATCCTCTCTTACATGCCTCTATGCAAATGTAGATGCCCCAAAACACATTATCTACCTAAGAAACTATCACTGTTGAACCCAGATTTGTTCTTCTCAATTCAGCACAATAGCAGTGTAACAATGCAAATTGTTCTTCATCACTCCCTTCTACTAAAACCTTGGCATATTTTCTCGTATTCCAAGATACTACCTTAGTAATGTGCAAACCAAAATCGTTTCTCACGGTACTCCTGAAATGTTTGATCTTCCATTCCGGATCAGCTCTAAAGTCATCTAGATAGTACTCTGCTAGCCATTTAAATGTTGCATTCTTATTCGTCCGAAGTCTTAAACATGTGTGTTTGGGAACGTATGTTTTAATTTGAACCGTTTCTTCACCTTGGAGCTTAGACACCCACAACCTCCAAGTGCATCCATCTTTACATACGCAATGAACCCGATCTTTATCATTTCTCTTCAAAATAGGTTCAACCCCGTTGAACACCGCGTAATCCTTCAAAACAGATTTCAACTCCTCAAATGAAGAAAACAGCAATCCAACCTCAAGATGTGGATTCTTCTTCTTCCCATTTTCATTTTCAGCATAATATTCAGGAAATTTTTGCCGACCACTGTTCTCATCCGACTCCGAATCACTTCTGATGTTTAACTCCTCTGAAGATGCATGTGAAGAACTATCTGATTCGGGAGCTTGTCCATCCTCTATTGTAAGAGGCATATCCAGTTCGATACCTTTGGTCACGTTATGATAGAACAGTATGTCATCATCATCATACATATCGTTGTCCGAATCATTAAAGTCCGAGTCATTCAAGTCCGCATCATCATCGAAATGAACAACTACAGTTTCATTAAAAATAAATCTATGTAAAAAAAAAACAAATTGTACACTAATGAACAAGTTATTCAACAGTAGCTTGAGAGATTTATTTCTAACTTGCTAATTGTTCTTCAATATTTGCCATAATACAGGTTCAGGGGAGGCGAGCTGCTGGTCTGGGAAGACGACTACAGGTTCAAAAGGGGCGAGCACCGTTCTTAGACCAAAGGGTTGTGCAGGCGATTTTAGGGCTTCTCCGATCGGCGATTTGGTTTTTGGTATTGTCGATTTTTGGCCGTGTGTGACGAACTACAGGTTGTCGGTGGCTATGAGCTAGGGAAGGCGACGTTTGTCAATGGCCACCGCCTCTCATTTTCGGCTGGCAACGGGAAAGGGTTAATTCCAACTTGGCGGAGTTGGTTTGAGGTTTTAGAGGGGTGAGGACGGTCTGGGCGTTTTATTTGACAAATTTGGGTTTTTTTTTTGGGTGTTAAAATCGTGTTTTCAATTCCAGATTTAGTCCCACAAACGTGCCACGTCATCACTCCCGTCACTTTTTTTAACAGACATTAGTTGGGTGATGAATGGGGTTGCATTTTTGAAAGTTGAGTGACTAACCGGGTAGTTTTTGAAGTTTAGTGACCTGTTGGATAACATTCAGTAAAGTTCAGTGATGTATGGGGTAATTAACCCACAATTAAGCATATCCATCATTTTGAAACAAAATCAAGTTCGATAACTACCGTCCAATTTTTCTTTCCAAAAGTTGTATGACTATTTGGTACTCTCTCTCCGCTTTACATTATTCAATTGGTTTCAAGTGTAAAAATTAAAATTTATTTTCTCAATCCTTCGTAATACTATTTACCTAATACTTGTAATCATAATAATATAATTAGTCCTTTGATAGAAATTAAAATTTAGATTTTAATTTAAATCAAAATTAACAACTAATTTTAATCGTACATTTTATAGGATCCACAACTTTTCAACTACGCATTATATTAACTTTTATCAAAATCGACTAAAATTTGATTTTAGCTCCTGTTTGGCTTCCTTTAAATTTTAAATTGTTTGTTATAATATCATTATCTACCACACATTCAAACAATAAAATATTATATACGCAAACCAATAAAGTTTCTTTACTTTTTAAACACACATTTTTCAAAAAATACTATTCAAAACTCTTTAATTTTTTAATGTGTGTCAAACAAGGGCTTAATCTCCACGAAATAAGGTTTTAACTTTTTATGTGGTCGGATCAGAATGTCGTGTACGAACCCCTAAGGTAAATTATATTTTACTCTAATTAATCAAGTAACCATTCTTCAAATTTTATTCAATTGGGTAATTACCCTTTATTTATTTATTCATCTGGATAACATTGTCCAACTTTGTCATTTATTTTGGTGAAGCTGTACGTATTTTATCTTAGCAGCTAACAATTACGTGTGGTGAACATTATTTATTGACCGTTGCATAACGATTTCCATTAATAAAATTGATTAAAATTATCTTAATTAAAAAGTAAATTAAAGTGTAGTTACTCGATTAGAAATCAAATAAAAGTATAGCTATATGATTGAAAAAATTTTAAGAGTGCGTTTGATAACAAGTATAGAATTTGCATGAAAAGAAAATAATGGTTCGTTTGATAGCATTCAATTCTATGTAAAATGTCACATTTTAGAAATTCGTTTTTTACTTTGGCCATTTGATACGAAAGTGGAATTGGAGTTTGAATTTCAAGGTATAAACACTTAAAATCATGTTTTTGGCTAATTAAGTGGAAATCGAATTCCTATGATTTTGGTGGTTTTTTTTCTAACTTTTATGGAATTGATTTGACTTTTTCATCTTTACAATCAAACGGACCCTAAATTTTAGGTAATTCAATTGCTTAGAAGTTATTTGTATAGAAATTGTCAATTAAATGCGTTTGATTGATTTTATTTTCAACCTAAAAATTATTATACTTATCCGATTTTTATTGTGGATATATGAGAGAGAGAGAAAGAGAGTGAATTTTCTGGAAAATAAAATCCTACTCTCTCTAAATAAAATATTTTCTTTAATTTTGAGGAAATTATGGTTACGTGATCAAAAGTAGGAAAAAAAATTTCATGATAAAAATGTCATTCAAACAGTACAAAAGTAGGATTTGGATGGAAAAAATACTTTTTCTATTTTAAATACTAGGAATCAAACGGACCCTAAGTATCCAATTAAATAAAATTGAATATAATTAATTGAATGATGCTAGAGTAAAGTGTAGTTAAGCTAAATGGAATTAACTCATAGATATCTATGAAGTAACGAAGTTAATAAAATTTAAGTTTAACTCTCAGCTTGAACTAAAATGAACTTGAGTGATCAAAATGTAATTTCTCTAAATTGCAACAAATTCCATGGAAAATGCCACATCCGAGTAATTCGTTTGATAAATTTATCTGTTTGATACAAAAGGGAAAATAGAGTTCGAATTTCACTGTACAAACACTTAAAACATGTTTTTGGTCAATTCCATGAAAATCGAATTTATATGATTTTGATGATTTTTTCTTTTTCAATTTACATGAAATTGGTTTGTCTTTTTTACTTGAACTTTGCTATATGTACAGTATGATGTACATTTTTGTTTACACTTTGTTACGTATCATTATTTTATTGAATATCTTAAATTTCAAACAATTTTTTGATTCAATTGACACTTCACAATAATATAAGTGTCAAATAAAGTGTCAAAAATTAATGTACAAATTGCAAAATAGTTCTCTTGTTTTCTACTTTTACAATCGAAATGGACCCTGGAAGTTCCCATACAGCATTTAAACACGCTCGCCAAATCTAACCCAACCCACCCATGTCCACCCCTCTGCTCTATCTGACAAACAAAAATAAGCAGAGAAAAAATGAAAATTCTCCAATAATAATCCTATGATATCTAGGGCTCATAAAAATTTCTAAATTGCAATTTAGCCTTTTCCCTCACACATGACCTTGCATATTATCGATCATTCGAACCTCTGAATGAAGCATAAATTTCATAACTATTTTACATTTCGTTTCCAAATTTCCTGAAAATTCACGCTGTTTTTATTTTCCTGGAGATCAGAAAATCAAAATTCAAGTTAAGACTTACAGGTAATGCCACTTCGAATTTTAATTTCATTTTTTCAATTCTAAAATGTGTGGAACATCGTTAAAGGCGTGAGTTTTGTAATTATTTGATACGTTAAATGCATCGGTGGTACTTATGATTATTATGTAATGTCGGAAAAATGATGCATGGATAAAATGCGAGATTTTTCGTGTAGTACATATTTGCTTCGGAAGTTGTCTTCTTTCTGGCTGTTGTAAAAAGAGGAAAAGAAATTATGGGAGGCAAATGTTGTTTATATGATACAAATTTATTTGCTTTTCAGATTTTTTACGATTTTCTTGTCTATAGAGTTCTAATGACGAGCTGTTGAAGAATTATATTCACGCATGCATTCAAGAAATGGAAAATTGTAAAATAAGAAAAGAAATACTTTTTGTTCTATTTACATTTTTGTTGTATCATGCATCATGCTCTGGACTGATCCATTTTCCTCTTAATTTGAATAACCATTTTAGGTGTCATTGATTGTCGAAAAGGTCAATCCTTTTATCTAGTCTTCCTTGGGCATGAAATCTGCCTGTAATCACGCTGTTCTCAGTTCTATGGCAGCAAATTTCTTGCACAAGTTAGTCATTAATTCATTTGCATCTTATCTAGTGAGCTGATTTCTATAATATTGCATTTTTACGCAAGTTTATTTTGCATAGCAGTTTGGTTCCATCATAGTGCTATTCCTGTTTGCGAGTTTCCTGTTTACTCTTATCTGAGATCTCTAATCTCTTCAAGTTTTTTATTAGTGTCTTTCAGGGAATTGCACGATTTCTATAATTTTTTGCATGTTGCTTATTTATGGGCATGGCTTATTTGTTGATTCCAGTTTCTGCAACATTAAACATTGCGTATTTCATGTGATCTCCTAATGACATACATATTGTTGCCACCATTGTGTAGGGATACACTTTCTCCAATTTTGTATGGTATGCTCTCTCAAAAGTGGGAGAATGGCAGCCTTGGCGAGGCTTCTTGCAGCTGGAAGCATCTCGCACACTCTTGCAGGTAAATAAGTGCATTAATTATCAAATTTGCTACTTTATGAGATTCTTTAAAAAAGTATTGTTGTTTTTACTACTTTTTGATCCCTTGGAGTTGAATGCAGTAAGTAGAGGCTGAAAAAAAGGAGTTAGAGATAGCTTTATTTTATGTGTCTTGTCCTGATGATTAGGACAATATGATTGTGTATTTTTTTCATCTTCCACGGAAGCCTTTTGGTGAACTTTTAACGAATTCATCTTACAGGGCTTTTGATAGAAATGAACATTAGTATATGTGATTTCACCAAAACTATAGCTTCAGTTCAGAGGTGTAGGATTCCTGTAATTTGTGCTTGAGTTCCACAGGCCAAGTCAAGCAAAATTAGAAGAGCTCTTATTTATTTGTTTTCTCCTTGTGCAACCAAGCATTTGACGGCAGATGGCAAACTTTGTTATGACATTTTAGCTGTGTAACTATCTGTTCCTCCTATTTCTCCATTTATCTGCGTGTATATATGCAGGAAAAACTGGATATAGTTATCTAGCCATCTCTTATGTAACTTGAAGAAATAACCTAGCTGGCAAAAACATGATGGCTGTAGAAACTACAACTTTAGCAAGCTTTGTAGCTTTTACAAAGTCCTATGATGCAGTTCAGTTAATTTTTGTGTTATGCACTTCTATATGTTGGACTTTATTTCTTCAGCCATCTAAACTGGGGAGATCAGATCTAGTCATTGTGACTGATATTTGACATTTAGTGAGTAATATCTTATGGTTTACTACTCTCTCTCCTTCTTTCTCCTTCTCCAGAGGAAGTAGACCGCCAGAAATTAGCTGCAAAATACCTGCACAGAGAATTACGGGAGGCAGATGAAGCAAACTTGCTCGATGAAGAAGGTACTTTTGCTTCTCGGTTCTTGGTAACAAAGCAAAAAGGGATTTTCACGCTGTAATTGTTGTCTACGCATGTAATACTGAAATAGAATCAGGAGAAAGAAAAAGAAAAAAAGTAACTTTGTGTAGAACGCAACAACAAGGTTATAAGAGATAGCTAAATAAGAGAAAATAAAAATTCTAAGCGGTGTTTAAATCTTTTTTCATGAGAAGTAGTAGGCAGGATATAAAATTGAAAGGTAAAAATAACAGCCCCAGTACTCACATGCATAACAAACAATGATGAATTTTAATTTAAGAATTTTTTATAACTTCTAGCAATGCCATGAAGCTTGAGAATTACCTTTAAAGCAGGGGGTCCCAACACTATACCTTGATATAGGCACGTTTCATGATTAGATCATACTGGAACAATTTCCTGTAAGGAATGGATATTTGTTCAATGTGCAGTGTAATATTCTTCTTCAATGGTGATTCAACTCTTTGAACACACCTAAATATTATTTTGGAGCCTACAAAATATGTCTACCACTTATACCCTCACCTGTAAATGGGTTCTTAAAGTACTGTTTCCTGCCTCCTTTATACAACATTGAGTCCTGATTTCTCAGTTTCTTGTTGATGATATTTCTTGTAGATATGCACATGTTTGGTTTGAGGCCTATGGCAGATCCTTTATATTTGGTAAGGTTTGGGAACCAGCATTAGAAATGTTTTACATCGCAATTTTATTCCTCTGTTTTGTTATATGAAAGAAATCATAAAATTTACTTCAATGCCTATATTTTAATGTTTTGAACAAATAAAAAACATAAGGAAGAAAATATAATAATGATAATTTAGTCATATTTTTAGAAATCTTTCCACTTGCTGATTCCCTTGTTTGATTGTCGAAACAATATGACGATTTTCTATGCGAGTGTCCAGCCTCTTGAAGCTAAATATAAATGTAATGAAATGATTTTTTCGTACTGGAAGTTAAGGAACGTTTTTATTGTGTGAATTTAAGATTGAGCATAAAGTTATTTTCTCTTGAACACTTGATACGTGGTTCCCTCTGTCATTTAAATCAATCAGATCAGAATTTTACAAAATCCTTGCCAAAAAAGCATGGATTTCGTGCTTTATATACATTGGTAGTAAACTGCATGAAGACCGATTGAGATGGTTTGGGCACATTTGAAGTTTGACAAATGAAGAACTGGAATAGTGAGATGACTAGCATATGGTAAATGTAGACAAATAGGTTGATCTAGTCACATGGCAGGAGGCAGTCAAAAGGGATTTCAATTGTCGTGTTTTGACTTTGAAAGTCCTTGATAGTGTGGAAAGGGAAAAAAGAGGACCCATGTACCTGATTCTAGATAATTACGAGATAAGGTATTGATGTGGTAATTTGAATTGATTGTCTACAAAGCATAATTAATTATCTCTTTAGTATTGACAATGTCAAACACCAAGGATTGTGCTTGGAATAACCTATGTTAAACCTCTACCCCAAAAGAATACCTGTTCTACAACAGTCACATGGCAGGAGGTAGTCAAAAGGGATTTCAATTGTTGTGTTTTGACTTTGAAAGTCCTTGATAGTGTGGAAAGGGAAAAAAAGAGGACCCATCTACCTGATTCTAGATAATTACGAGATAAGGTATTGATGTGGTAATTTGAATTGATTGTCTACAAAGCATAATTAATTATCTATTAAGTATTGACAATGTCAAACACCAAGGATTGTGCTTGGAATAACCTATGTTAAACCTCTACCCCAAAAGAATACCTGTTCTACAAAATTCATTGGCGTAGAATGCAAGAGACAGGTTCATAAGTAACACATCATTGGCTTAGAGAAAGTGTCAATCAATAATAAGGTTGGTTGTATGAAGTTCAATTCTATGGACTGAAGTACATATGTTTCTGTGAAGAAAATGTACAAGAGTTTGGAAGGTTTAAACTAGGTGCTTTTTATTGCAGATTGCAAAACAGGTTTGTAGTGGAAAAATAATTTTATATAGGGTGTGTTTGAGCCTCATTCTTTTTTAAGAATGTATTTTGGAATGGTAGATTGATGGAGAATGCGTGGTTAAAAAAGAAGGAAAAAATTTTGGTTTGTAGTGTAATATTATTTTAATGAAAAATATGTGTTTAAAAAGAAGATAGAGAAAAATGTATCTTACGAAAAATGGGAATCAAACACCCCCATAATATTATGTATGGCAAATTATGGATACATTCCATGAGCATGAGGTAACTGACAGTTGAAGAGACATCTTCCACTTTAAAAAATTGCATAAACTCCTGAGATTCTTCACCCCCC